GGGGGGGGGGGGACAGAAAACGCGTAAATTCAGTTCTAAGTTTTTCGTATCAAGGTGAACTAAATCTCAAAAGCCTGGACCTAATTCCACAGTGAGATCCTGGATTTCGAGCTGATGCCGCAGTGGTGTGAGATAGTTGCGGGCCGTGGGAGATGGCGAGTGTATTTTGCACGTGGGAGGGAGGTGAACATGCAGGGGCGACGGGGCCGACTGTCTCAGCCAGCCTCCAAGGTGGCCCTTAATATCCCTTGTTCCGTAGCATCAATGACCGCACGTAGACTAAGTAAGATCCCACGTGGAATAAGGCTGAGCTTTGTAGAAATGAGGGCGTGTAACTTCCAAAGTCAGGTCATAAAAGGCACGTCCTCTCTTTGGAGTCACTGGCTCTTAGAAAGCCAACCACAGCGTTGCGTTGCGAGGGGAGGCCACCGAGAGGCCCTACAGACAGGCCTGCGTGGGGAGCACTGAGCGCTCCTGCCGGCAGCCAGCCCTCACGCGCCAACCATGAGTGAGTCGTCTTGAAAGTGGAACTTGGCTTCAGCCTCCTAAGAGACTCTGAGCCAGAACTACCTCGCCAGGCTGCACCTGCGTTTCTAACAACAACAACAAAAAAACTGAGATAAAAATTTATTGTTGTTGTTTTAAGCCACATAGTTTGGGGATGTTTTTACACAGCAATAGATAACATGACCCAGACGGCCTGGTATAGAGTCAGGAATCAAAACAGTGATTACATCTGGGGAGGGTGGAGGGGGTAGTAAATAAAGCAAGTATAAGGGGGTTTAAGAGGGCACAGAAGGAGTTTTATTGATCACTTTGTAATAACTGATTAAATTTATAGTTATGTTTGCTTTCTTTTCTTTGATATATTTTACAATTTTAATGAGACTAAAGAAGAGTCTAGAAGGGAAGCTCATTTCTTCTGTTCTGTTGGCAATGCACAAGGTTGGTGATGGAACAGGGTTATCATGGCTGTTGGCACCCCTTGAACTCCTACTATGTGCCAGGCAGAAGTCTCAGTACGTCTCATGTGTTGGGAAATGTAATGCCCCAGCCCTGTAAGGAGCCGCAGTGGTGAGTAACTTGCCGAACGTCACCCTGTCAGTAAGACGCAGAGCTGATTAAGCCCAGGGGGTCGTCGTAACCCTTTATGCTTATCGCATGAGCTCCTGCCTTTGACTGTTGCGTAATTCCTCTCTTCTGTTCACTACCCCACGCAGAGCTGCGACGTTTGGTAGGATTTTCTTATTCTATTCCCAGAAAAAAAGGAATCGACCTGGTTTGGAGGAAGCTTCCAGGCACACCCTGGCAGAGCGAAAGCACAGTGTGGGAAGAGCCCCTTGGACACACGGTTACCCTTGTTCTCCAGGGCACTATGATCTGGTCCAGCCCGGTCCAGCACTCGAGCTTCAAGTACCTGGCCACCCTCCCGCAGATATGTTTTGTGTTCACCGTGGATGTACAGGAAACTGTCAAAGTGTGGAACTGTCAGGGTGTGGACGCTCTGGCTAAGCTCACCCTGCCCAAGGCCTGTTTTTCCTTGGAACCCATCCTCACGAGCAATGGCCCAGTCCTGATGGTAAGTGAGCCCTGTGTCTGGAGGGCACCCACAAAGCCTGCTGCCTTGGCAGGTGTCGCGGCCCCATTACTGTCACATCTCAGCCTGTCTTCTCGAGGCGTCTGTCACATACTCTGAGAATCACAATACGCCCATGAACGTTGGCCATACAAACCTTTATACTCTCTTGGCCTTTGTTATATCTCAGGTACATTTCCCCCGTAATTCTTTTTTCTTTATGTTTTTATTTATTTCAGAGAGAGAGGCCGGGAGAGGGGGAGAGAGATAGAAACATCGATGAGAGAGAAGCATCGACATCGATTGGCTGCCTCCCCCCCAACTGGGGATTGAGCCCGCAGCACAGGCACGTGCCCTGACAAGGAATTGAACCCGNCAACTAGGGATTGAGCCCGCAGCACAGGCACGTGCCCTGACAAGGAATTGAACCCGTGACCTCCTGGTGCATGGGTCAGCGCTCAACCCCTGAGCAACACCTGTGGGGCTCCCCAGTAACTCTTCTAAAAAAAACTTTCCTGAATTATTTCATATCTAGTTTCTTCTTTCAAGTGTGTCTTATTGTGGAGTACATGAACTTGGACCGGGACCATGGAGGGAGAGACGAGGGTTTGGGGAGACACTGAGAAAAAAGTATAGCGTTGATGTGTTAACGGGTCACTACCCCAGGGCGCTTTGGGGCTTAGAACATTTTATTCCCTGGGATCATCCCAGCAACCGTGTGGGGCAGGCTGGTCAGAGGAGTTCGTCTCCACTGTGTGACTGAAGAAATGGTGGCACCTCCTGCAGCTGCCAGGGCTGCCTCCTGCGTGCTTTAGGATCCGCTGTCTCTGTCATTGACATGGTGGTGGTGCTTTGGTTTCAGATAGGCGATTCTGAAGGTGACATCTACACATTTACAGTGCCTGAGTTAAGGAATGTTTCTAAAGTTAATGCATTTTACTACAGCGTTGATCTTCTGCACTGCTCTCCTAACAAGAAATGGATCTTTGCCTCCGGGACGCATCAGCATATCTTACCTAAGGTAGGTGCCGCCCTGTGCGCCGGCTCAGGAGGGGGTCAGCCTGAGGAAGGCGAAGGCAGGAAGCCTGAGCGAGGCCGCAGAGCTCGGGGGACGGGCGACCGTCCCCTCCTCCCAAAGGCCGCAGAACACGTGGGACCCATTCCTAGAGTCAAGAGACATTGTTCTTTGAAGCAATAATATCCATTTGCAAAGACAAATGTCTATTAGTGAAAATTTGCTCATGGGGCCTGAATCAGCCAAAAAGATAGAGGAGGATGAGAGAGAGATCGAGAATTAGGAGCCGGTTCACTTTTGCTTTCCTCATGTTACCTTTAGCTACCTCGGCGGGAAAGTACAAAGTCCAGGAGTAAATAAAAGCGCATCGGCCTCTGGATGTCAGTCTGAGAAAGTGGCGTCGTGAGCAGGCCTTTCCACACGCGCGTGTGCACAGGGCACCAGGGAGCAAGGAGCTGAGGGAGGCGGCAGCAGACGCAGATCAGCCCTTGGCAAGCTCTCCAAGAAGGGAAAACACGCTTGGCCAACCCCCGCTTCACTGGGGGCCAGTGCGCCACGTGCTTTTGTCACCCCTGGGCCTGCCAGAAGAGAGGCTTTGGGGGCTCTGCTCTCTGTGTGCCCGTGACAGGCAGGATAGGAAGCCAGTGAGTGACAAGAGTGACAAGCAGTGACTACTCAAGGCTTCCTGAGATTCTGAATAAAGCTTTGGCCACAGGGGGGACTTCCGAGGAGGGTTTTCTGGAGTCGCTCGGGCTCTGAGCTGCAGCCCCCCGCCTGACTCCCTGTGCAATCATCTCTCCGCAGGTCTTCTTTGCCGAGTGCTTACTGAGCCCGTCAGAAGGCTGTGCCCCTCTGTCCGTCTCCCTCCCATTTGCATTTTGCTGCAGAGCCTGCTGGGCCCCGAGGAGGGCAAACAGGGTAACACTGATGTTCCGAAGAGCCTCTTGCAGAAAGACAGGGTTTACCACCTTTGATCTAACATCTGAGAGGACCGGGCGCGGGACAGTCATCCAAGGTGGGCTCTGCCACCTTGCTTCTCCCCCGATCACACGTGCCCTTGTTTTAAGCTACACATGTGTATAAATAGGTCAACATCTGTACAGGGGTCGGGGCTTTCTTAGCTGGAGGCTACCCAATGCCTGTTTGACTCTGATTCCCACGCTTCGACCCCTACACTCCACCGTGTGCTTTTGGGCAAAAATGTCTAGATCCCACCATGCTTTAGGGCCTGCACTCCACCGCCCCTTCCCTCAATGCCCGAGCTGTCATTTCTTGTCCATAGCCCTCTCTTCGCATGTGATGGCACCCATCATCACGGTCAGTGACACGGATTTGTAGGCCACTGGCCTACCCTTCATTTTCCTCACTGGGCTGACGTCCCCTGGAAGTAGGGAGTATATTTTTTCATTCAGGGTAAGGATGCTGTTCTGATTACATGACCCAAAATTTGCCTCTGTGTGTGTGCATATGTTTTACATGAAAATAGCCCATCAGATCGCAAGCTTCATGTTGCCAGCTCGCATGGAGAATCCCATTTGGATGGGAGTCAGCGACGGAGATTTGATTGTCTTTGAGAGTGGGCCACACCTGTTTCTCTTCACCATCAATGGCCTCCTGCTGCAACGCTTTAACGATCACCTGGGGACCATCTGCAACCTCTGGGTGGTACGTATGC